CGTCAAGCTCACACACGAGTTCAATGTCCTAAAAATTAAAATAAATTTATTAAAATTTGGTAACATTTTATGAGATACATATTTTTAAAAGTAAAGTCTAGAGTAATTAACCTTTTTGCGCTGATAACGTGATGCTGGAATTCCATATATATTTTGAAAATACATGCTTGCCCAGAAATTAGATAATCCAGCCGCAAGCCAATAATCACGCCTAATTTATTATTAAATATAAAATTTTAATGAAATGTAGGTAGAATATGTATTTCTAATTTTTAATAATTACCATGAATAGGGAGGAATAAATATTCCAAACCACTGCTGGGTCAACGCAGTTATCAAGGCGCGCCTCGTCTTCTCCCTTTGATCAATAATGCTCTTATTGTATAATATATTCAAACTAATAAATATATAATTACGACATATTAACAAATTAATTAAAATTAACGAAAAAAATCAAAAAACTCAACATATATAGTCACAAATTAACCAAATACATACCGACATATTAAAAGTCCAGCACATACATTTACTTCAGAGTAACAATGATCAACGAAAACTATTTGAAATCTTTTGAATGGGAAACTTCCAGATTTTACATCTGGATTATTTTTATCAAATTCAGGATGTAGATTAAATTTGGAATATTCTTCGATAAAATAATCCATTGCCTGTAATAAACTTGTTAATGTAAATAATAAAATCGAATATTTTTAAAATAGTATAAAAATTATGACATACACGATGTAGCCAATAAGTATCTTCAGTAGGTTCATCGTCACCATCAGGGTATAAGGTAGGTATTAACCAGTTCTGCCATTCTTCAGAGATATAGGCGATTATCTTTGGCCTATTGTGTGGAAGAGCTTCTTGGGGATAATCCAACACAAATGGATTAACAAAGGGACCACATACTACACCAATATATTGTGCTGGAATAGCAACTGGCTGATTATAATGAAATGTTTTTTGATTTGGAGAAGTCGAAGAATTTGTCTAACAGATCAAAATAAAATAAGTAAATTATGTTATTAATTAATTTTTATTGAATAATTTTAATAATTATAGAGAATTATATTTACCATTTTAACAAGGTTCCCACTACAAACTACCATAATCGGATTGAAACCTTCAATATCTGATACAGTTACAAAGAAATCCCAACTACAACGATCACGAATGCGATCAAGACATGGAAGCCAACATCTCGTTGCACCGGGCAGCGGACTATTAATGGTGAACATGTATGGATCACACTTTAAATAATGTGTAAAATTCAAGTCAATAAAGTAAAGAAAAAAAAAAAAATTAAGATAAAAGAAAATTATTATTACAAATGTGTACCTGAGACTTATACTTTTGTTTATCATCATCAGGAAGTTTAAAATGGACACCAGCCTTTGGTTTTTCTAGAATAAAATCTACACGAACAATAAGTGGAACCCACTCTTCGGCCTGAAACGCCACATAAGAAAGTAAGAACCCGATTGAACTTTAACAACAAACTTAAGTTCATCACTTGATGTTAAATAAATAAAATAGTACATTAACTAGGACGT